CCCCAAAACCCCAAAACCCCAAAACCCCTGACCCATATCTAAAGAAGCTAGCAATATATTAAAAGTGAATTAATTAGTTAAACGATAATCATTTGGTGATTCTATATACTTGAACCTTAGCCTCCTTCTTTATATTTTTTAGAGGATCGTTTACCTTCTTATTAGGAAGTAATCCAGTTTTATCAATTAGTTCTGCCCTCAAATGATACTTATTAGCAAGTTATTGAACTTTATTCTCATCTTGAATACCTAACAGTTGAGCTAAATCACTATATATCAAAAGCATTTCTCCTTTTTGAGACAGATGTATTTCTAAAAGGTTAATTATTCTGATAATATTGATTACTTGCAAAATTTAAACAAGAGTTTAGGAATTTTTCTTTAGGATCATAAACACCATTATCTAGTGGACTTGAATCTACTATAAACTCAGCTGGCAGCCAAGGGGGATTGCAAGTGATCAAATCAATTTACATTGGAATTCTAAAAGTACTATAAAAAAATATGAAGATTCTTACCCTAACTCGTCAGTCATTTTTTTATAGAAATTAGCCTAATTCTCTGTAAATTTATCTGTAGGGTTATAATAAAATTCCATCAAGTCAAGTTCAATAGCATTCATCTGTTGTGTCAGACCAAATACCTATCCATTGTGTCTTGTTGATTCAACACAATTGTGTTCCTTATCAAATGCATAAATATCCCCATTAAATTTGCCTAGTTAACTTACTATAATAGGTAGAATTCCAGTACCGCTGCCTAAATCAGCCATCGTTTTATAGTTTTATATAGTCTTTTTGGATTGAGTGATATAGTTTGCAAAGAGATCAAGGTATTCTTGAGTAGTGGGTGGAAACACTCCATATTAAGGATAGATGATTTTATCACCTAAACATCTGATTTTAATGCCTTAAGTTCGAGATCTTTCATAGGATATCAGCCCTTCCACAAATGGAAATGGCAAGAAATAGTCTGGCTTCTTGAATGATCCTAGATCGAAGTCTACTTCTAAGTTTTGCAAAATAGATTTCATTTCAACAATTTCAGGTTTGCTCTTTGGGTTTAATTCTATTGATCCATCTCTTAATGCTAAGAACCCTATTCTAGACAGGAACTATTTCTAGTTCATCTTAGCCATTCTATTTACATTAAAGATCTAGAAAGGAAGTTAGCATTTTTCAAATACAGTTCCTTTATAAGGTTTATCCTCGTTTTTCTTCTTGCTACTACCAAAATAAGTCTCTGAAATTTATTTCTTAATAGATCCGTAAAGAGATTATGCATTGATATAATGACCTTTTGGGTCAAAGAGGAAGAATGTATTAGGAGAGCGATGCATTTTCTTAAAGAATTCTCTTGAATCAGTATTATCATTTACTACTTGCACTTGTCTTAAAGTAACTTCAGGTTTAGGAGCTGTCATTGGTTTTATGTTCAAGAGCTCTCCATATTCAGAAACTATAATTACTGGTTTTCTTTTGGGTGGAAGCTTCAACTTAGGATTAGTGATTTTAGTTTCACTTTTATCAGGCTTTACTTCCTATTAAGCAGAAGAGAACAGCTTATTTTATGTAGCTCCGATAAGACTGAATTTATTAGTCAAAATAGTTTGGCAACGAAAGTATTTAAGCATTAATAAGTATTATTATAGCCATTATTCATTTATTTCTTTAATAATAGTCGAAATTAATTCATCCGGGGTTTTGGGGTTTTGGGGTTTTGGGG